CATTTGTTTAGAGAGTGCTACCAGCGTTTTGTACACCATCTGTGCGATGATTTCAAAGCACACCTTTTATCATAATGGCTGTCCACAGGAGTTGCGCTAGGATGTAATTGTAAAGCTTAAAATTCCATAAGACTGTGGACGCAAAAGCATAACGTAATATATCATGAGGGCTTTATCTCAGCAGCCAAATCAAAAAAAAAAAAATAGCCTAAACGAGTGCAAAATGAAAACCTGAAGAGGTACTCCGGCTATGCATGCAATTTGCTTCAAAATTGCATGAGTGGTGCCAGTTGTTGCATATCGTTGATTAACATTTATTTTCACCACCACACCGCCATGGAGATCGGGCCTGTGGCAGTCCTGCAACCAGGTTCCTCAGCACATAAAACATTTCCCCAAACAAGTACGAGTGCTCTGGAGACGAAGAAGGCTCAATTACATCGTATTTCTCCTTGTAATTGGGATGCAGTGCGTGTGATTGGTCGGCGCTGATTAGGAATGACTTCCCGACAGCTTCCTCGAAAGCCGTCTGCGTGCCACCCGCTGCTAAACGTCGAAGAACCCATTCGGTAAAAGTACTGGCCGCACCTTGTGCCGACTCACTTCCGCACTAAAAATTAAAATTTTTTAATAAACAATCTGCATTCTGAGAAATGTACCAAAATATGGGAATTCTTTTATCCCAGTGGCACTGTGGCAATTTTTCTAATCTGTGAATTTGCAAAAATTTGAAGTCAAAAAGAAGGCCCCTACCTCTTCGTTATCAAAGCAAATAGCCAAACGAATATTCTCTTCATCCACAAGCGCATCCTCGGCTGCAACACTGTTCAAAAGGCCCTGTATACATGTGTATGCGCCGACCAAGTTATCCATTCGTTGTCCACAGATGAATTCTTCATAAATTCCTCCGATCGTCTAGAAACAATAGTATGGAATGGCGGAATATGTACGTATCGAAAAAGCAATTTGTATAAAAATGATAATGCCGCACTTCAAGTGGTGGTAGTCAGTAAAATAACTCACTGTTTTCTAGGAATAGCAATGTTCAAGGCGTTAATAATCAATACAAACTAACGGCATCTGAAGCTATCAAAGTCCTGGCAAGTGTTATTGATGGGGAAATCGTCCAGATTTAATAACCTGCTTCAAAGAGAAGAAACGAACAGCAGGGCCAGCAGCAGGCTGAAGACCACCTGTTGCACTGGTGGTCAAAGCTGTGAAACACATGACTACATAAGCATGATTCTACGGCGTTTTCACTTGTATCAATGCAAATACGCATAAAAGTGTCGACATATTACCCCCGAATAGAACAGTGGGTGGGTGCTAATTGAAGGCATGCAAGCAGCCCAACAGTCTGGTACAGTTGTACGGGAGCATCTTAGTAACATCACTAGCAGGAGATATCCACACTGATAGCCCAAGCAGTCTTGGTATATCATCCTGAAATTGTACGCGAAAAAAAACTCACCGCTTTTTGATTGTCATAGAGGTACAAGTCCAAATCCAATATGCTGTCTGGCTCGCAACCAGCCGCAGTGGCAATTGTATTCAAGAGAATGGGATGGTGATCCTTCGTCACATTACCCGTCACTCCACTCTCACTATCCGATGCACATTCTTTTTCTTTCTGAAACAGCTCGTTTTTACAAAAACTGAAGCTGAAGAAGAACAGCCCCTCATCTTTGGGAATGTTTCTTTCCGCAAAAAAAAAAGTCAAGCGCCAGAAAAAAATGAACTTCTGTACGAACGCTGCTTCTGAGAGATAACACTGTCAGTAAATCTTATGGTGTTACCGATGTATGTGGACGGAGCGCGAAATTTCCGCGCTAACTACTAATACGCAAGCACACCGACTGACCTATACAGCGAAAAACTCATCCCTTGAGATACTGCCGCAATGAGAGATTGCGAGGAGCCAACTGCGACCAAGCAGTTCGAATAATATCAATCCCCTGTATGCATATATGCAGACGAAGTATTCCATGAGGATGTTCACGAAAATTAGGATGCAGTAGCTGACATGACATATTTCAAAATGAAAAACGACCGACTCCCATGGTCTTGAAAAAGGGCCCTTTCTCATCAACTCAAAACTGATGCAGCAACTCAAAAGAACAACCGCAGAGTAGCGCGCGAATGTTCATCATCAACAACGGTGCATATTTGCCGGAACAAAGTAAAAAAATTGGCCAACGCACGGGCTGCCCGTGCGAAGATGCGTTTTTTGCAGAGTTCCCCG